AGACTCATAGGGTACTCCAACATATCAAAAGGGCATCAAGATCTGAAGATGACATGTAGAGGGTCTCTCCTCCCTAAGAATGGAGATCTCCCAGCGTTTGCTCTCTGATTTTTAGGAAACTCGTGTTAAGAGTTGACTATATTAGGAATTGTGATTTTTAGGAAACTCGTGTTAAGAGTTGACTATATTAGGAATTGTGATTTTTAGGAAACTCGTGTTAAGAGTTGACTATATTAGGAATTGAAGAAATTAATTGAAGAAATTAAGAATTATAGGAATTGAAGAAAAATCTTAGTGAGGAGCATTATAATCTGTGTAATAGATATTTTAGATAAAGAATTTTTTGAAGATCAAATTTACGACGTATATCTTTTCCAAATATGTGTTTCAAAGTTTTTAGATATGAAAAAACTCGTGTGGCTGCAAATGGTCGAAGGAAGGAGAATAAAAAACAAGTGAAATGTTAGTGTTGCATAATTTCCTCATTTTTTCCGAGTTGGAATAAATTTGCAAAATTAAACATTTCTGGTAAACATTTTTTGCAAAGTTTTGAAAAATGGAAACTTTCATTTTTCCACTTTTGGAAAGCGATACAGAGCGACCTTGGTTTTCGACCTCGATTTTTGTTAATAATGTTTTAGGGTTTGAATTTTGCTTCAAACATTTGGTGCAACATGCTAGAATTCTGGAAACCTCATTTGATTCTTAAAGAAAAAAAAAACATTACATAAAATAATCAAACCTGTGTAGTGTTTTCTATAAATAATTTTTGCAAATAAAATTTACGACATATACCTTTGCAAATATTTGTTGCAAAGATAAATTTTAGATAAGAAATACATAACCCGTGTGTTTGAAATTGTTGAAGTAGAGTAAAAAAGGAAAAAAATGTTACTGTTGCATAATAATTTCATTATGTTTTTTCCCCCAAAGTTTAGCCGATTTGGAATAAATTTGTAGTGGAATAAATTTGCAAAATTAACTATGTCCAGTAAATATTTTTCGCAGTAGTGGGAATACAAGGAAATACTTGTGAGTACATAAACCACCGACCTGTCTGGAAGTTAGGATATATGTTGAGTGATCCATCTTGCACCCAGGAAGTCACAGTTATATAGTCAACAAGCTCGGGAGGCACGAGGCAGCTGCGGAAAATTGAAAAGATAATTCCAAATTTTAATTCCACCAATAAATTCGTAAAAATCTTTGACGAAGTTCGCCAAAATTTGAACACGAGTCTTTCCAAATTGGGACTCAAATTTTGGAACCCATTTAGGGTAAAAATTTAGGAAATCGTGTCGTTATGTTTGTCATTACTGGTCTAAAGGTGCATTTATACTTCGCTTCTTGGTAACTTTCGCTAATGTTATAATCCAAGTATGAAATATAAACCCACGTTAAATTTCGTAAATTGATTTAGAGACCCATGGCATAAAATCAAAAATGCCTGCCAGGTATTTTGGGCATTTATTTAAATACGGACAAATGAGGCATGTCACAAATGTGGTTTATCTCATACAACACCAGTGTGTGCAGAGCAAAAAGCCAGGCAGTGCCTTTTTGCCTGCCTCTTGCCTATTTGCCCCACAAAAATGGGTGCCGTTTTGCCTTTTTGCCCTTTTGCTAATTGGGGAGAGATGAGACGAAAACTCAGTGATAAAATTAAAGTGAAAGTTATATTCATTGCGTTTTTACACTTTTCCCAAACATGATCTTCAGCCCAAAATTAGATTAAATAAGCTGATGAAAATGTAGAAACAAGCCTAAAAATATCTAGGGAAAAGTATTCTACTAATTTGAAGTATCAATGAAAGCCAGGACTCTCCAATACAATTTCAATTCAAAAATATTAAATATATTCTCTAATTTCTTCAATACGTTACAAACGACAAGAAACAGGTTCAATCGCCAAAAATCGAGCAAAAAGGCATCAAACAGGCAAAAAGGCATCAAAAAGGCAAAAAGGCAAAAAGGCGCGCAAAAAGGCAAAAGGGCATTGAAAAATGCCAAAGGGCAAAAAGGCATGAAGAAATAGCAAAAAGGCTGCCTTTTTGCATACACTGTACAACACCAACCTCAAGATTCACTATTCCTTTTGTCTTCTGTCATCCTTTGTCTATTTGTAATTCTACATTTTTTATTTATTTCAATAAAGGCGTTTGAGCTTGACAATATGAAAATTTTGAAACAAAATTTTTGAGGTCTCTCAAACTAAAGAAATTTCTCAATTTTTTGGAAATGTTGATAAGGTAAATTCCTCCAAAAACATTGAGGCAATTCACCCAGGCCTTGGTAATATTGTGAAATCATCAGTAAATTCTGTAAACTTAGAAACTTTTAGAAAATTTAACAAATATTTCTGAGGAGAATTGAGTTACAAATTGTTATATACTTACAAGGGCGCCTTTTAATTTCGTAAAAGTTCGTAAAATTATTTTACAATTTCTCGAATTTTATAATGTTAAGAAAGACGGCATGAATTGCCTCCATTATTTTTTTCTTACAAAATTTCAAACTTTACACACTGATTGATTGACGTGAGTCGTTTAGAGGTGAAATAATTCACAATTTGATGTGATCACATGTCCCATAATTTGGTAAATGACGAGATAACTTGGTGACAAGAAGAGAATAAAACTCACCGTAAAACGGCATTATTTCCCAGGATCACGGTCACGTCCGAATTTTCGATGTGGAACGGGGTGTCCAGCACTGCAAGAATTCCAGACATGAAGAACACAATTTCCAATTAAAATGACATAACGACACAAAGTTTGGGGAGAAAAACTCATTGTTTTTTGTGCAAGTTTTCCCCAGAAAGTTTTCCTTTCACTTTTCTCATGGATTTCTTACCTGCGCGAACCACGACTTCCGGACTGATAATTGTTCCCGACGGATTACTTAGTTTGCACTGAAGCGACCCAAAGTGAACGTCGGAACTTGTCAATGGGAAACGGGAGAAAGCGTATATTTCCGGTTGGCAGCACCTGAAAATCGAGGAAATCAATTAATATGTCCTGAATTACATTTTTCAGGAATGTCAAGAAAATTAAATACTTTTTTCAAAGTAAAAAGTATTAATTACTCAGCGTGTTATTCAATAAGACTCTGACTAAAAACCTATGATTTTTGTGAAATTTCAAGAAACAATTACTTTTAAGAAATGGACAAATTTTTATTATTTTTATATCGGAGGAAACAATTTGCCTCTGAAAGTTTGTAATAATAAAATTGTTCGAAATTATAAAATTCATTAAAAATTTCTTCTGAGTAAGAAACACATTTAAATGAAATCTATTATGCTCAGCCCTAAATTGTCTTAAATTAAAAATATAAATTATCGTCACTAAAGTCTTAATTTAAAAATTCTGAAAATATTTAAAAAATATATTCCAGAGATTGATTTATACAAAATTGAAATTTTTCAAAGTTCAAAATTTTTCGCCTTTAACCGACTCAAATCTATAAAGGTTTTCTGTTATTACACATAAACAGGCTTGCCCGTTATAAGTAATTACATATTTCGAATATTTCTAATATTGTTTATTTGCAAAGACATGAAAAATGAAATTTACATATATACTTTTTAGTATTTCAGGTTTTAGAATTAGTTTGACGCCCAATGTAATAATTTTTAGGAAATTATAACAGGTTTAAATTATCAGATATCAGCCTCTCGAGATCCATTTTTAAATAAAGAAATAATGCATGGTAGCTAAATTTTGTAAAATTTCTGTATTTTAGAATTTACGCTTTACGCTTTAATTTAATTTTCTTTAAATTATATTCCATTATTGCTGCAAATTTTTGACAGCTTGTCACTTAAAAATGTTGATGCAGGCGAAGCCAATTTTTTTAACGCTGAAAATAATTTTACCAATTTTTACAAAATATAAATATCAGTAAAATACATGAACCCGCACCCTAACTAATTAAGCCCCCATAGTAGAATATCATTATCATTAGGCGATTTTTATAAAATTTTGAAAATCCGAAACCAATATTTTAAAATTGATATGGAAAAGATGATAGCTGGACCCGACCATACATATGGATCCATAATTTGCGATATTTTGAGCATAATTCACAGTTTACAAATTTCCATTCTAGCCTTCACTACTCTGCACCATTGTAAATTTTGATCTCGCTTTCACCACTCAAAAACCAGACAGAACAACCCACACAACACACAAATTCCGTCCTTACAAATGAATGGACCTGGTCAGCCACACAAACACTCGTTCACTTTCACCTCGACCACTTCATCATCTTCACTAAATTTACGCTCCTCTCCATCCAACTTTCTCTCTCTGTGGATGAAACGTATTTACACCAAATTGGGTTCACATCATAACCCGAGAGCCATACATAACACGAAACAATCATGCTTTGTGACGTCCTCGAGTTTAATTCTGTTTTCAGGACGGGTGCATTCACCAAATTAAAATCTTGGGGGTGCTCATCCCAGAGAAAATGGATGTACGTAATTGCAATATGGGAAAATATTTTGGGGACTGGAAAACATCAAAATAAATTGTTGTATAACATAATTGTAGCAGAATAGGTGAGCTTTACCGCGTTGGTTACGATTTGCTAATACAAATTTCCCATGAATTTTAATAAAAAATTGTCGATACTTTTGAGATTCCAATTTCTGTCCGATTTGCAAATCATGTAGATCCTGGTATTACTAATTAGTAATTTTCATTGATTTCCGGTAACAAAATGTCACCGAATGGAAACAAATTAATAACTTTTCTGAAATGACAAGAATTTTCTTAAATACGATTTTCAAAACAAAAAATTCGCCATTAAGCACACTTCCGATTCATTGGATTTTCATTTCCCTATATTCTTCATATCTTTATTTGTCACCGAAAGGTAACAAAGTGTTAAGTTTTAATTTAAAAAATAACGTAGTATATTGCTTCCATTAGCAAAAATTTTTAAATATAGTCGAATTAAATATATTAAACAGATTGTACATGGTTGTTGGTTTAGGTTGTTGAATGTGTATTTAACAAGGCAAAATAACAATTTTTAATGCTATTGATAACAATTTGTAATGCAAGCGAACGAAATGTTACAGAAAGATTATCGATCAAAATTGGAGTTTTCGATATTCAAATAAAAACCAAATTTTTAAGAAGCTTTAATATTTCATATTAAAGCAATATTTTTGAACAGGGAAACTTTTTTCATGGAATGTAATCATTTTGTACATACTAATGTCAAGTATTTGATAATTTAAAACTTTTGTCAACCTCGATATACGAAAAGTTCGTAATTTAACAGCCATTTCTCTTTATTCTTCATGTACTTATTTATCACCTGACGGTAACAAAATTTTCGATAACTTCTTTATCGTACAAGGTTTAAATTGATAACTTCCTCCTGAGTACCCCTTTTCCTCACTAATTTCGCAAATTGCATCGCCCCAGTGAGTAATTCTCCACTCCATGTAAAATCAGGGAGTACTTAATGCACCTCCAATGCGACCGACTTAATGGCTTTATGTACACGTACTTTCACTCATTTCATCCCCAATTTAAAATCCTCTAGAACAAAATTACTCGTCGAAATGTATATTTTGGTGAAAGCAGCATCCGAAGAACACAGTGTGCTCGTCTGGTCCGGATTTGTACCTGATTTATGTTCTCGGTAGGTGAAAGTAGAAAGGAAATAAATAAATCGTGCCGTCGACTTTCACCGAAATTCTAATTTTGTCCTGTTCTCCATTCATTCCTCTCCTCTTGTTCCTTGATTCCTCGTCCTATTAAAATCCAATTTTGCTCACGGGGAGGGCAACCCGGTAACCAAGAGATGGATCAAATTGGACGTGGGTCGGAATAAAATCTAATTCCGACCCACCATAAAATTTATGTGGGTTTAATATTGGAATAAAATGGACTCGGACGACGAATTCTTCTTCTTCCGTGAATGGAGGAGAAAGTCTTCATTTTTTAGTCGATGAATGTATTGATGACGTATTACAAGGCCGATTATTTTGCAAATTCTGGTATTCAGTTTTTTAGAGGAATACAGCGTATTTATCGAATTCATTTGATAATGGGGGAAAAATTTTAGTAAAGAGGATTAAAAAATAAAGTATTATGTTACTACATATTTCCGTCATTGTCTCCGAAATCAGCGATTTATAGGATGGGGTCAAGTTAATCTTCCCGTGGCAGCCCTTGTGATGTCGGGTACACCTGTAGACGCAGAAAACAGAATGGTTGTCAATTAATGAAAAAATCGTTACATAAATATGTGAAACTTCGCCATGTAATATTTCCTAAGTTAGCTGATAGAGATTACAAACTCACCGCATTGTGTGTTTCTGGAGACCGGAAGAATGATGAACGTAATAAAATCCGTTCAGAGTAGCTGCGTAATTTTTGCCACTGGCGGATGGAAAAACTATCAATCCAGGACTTCGGGTTTCAATTTCTTAGAGTGGAGACTGGGCCATGGTTCTGAACGTCAGAGGAACAGGAGAACTCGAATGTTGTTCAAACCAAAAAAAACTGGCCTTTTATAGGACCTCAGTCTCAGTTTTCCAAGAAGTGGAATAAAGGAAACAATACCAAGAAACGTGTATTAAATATGGACTGGAAGTTTATTGAGTAAAAAGGTTGGTGTAGTGGAAAGAAATGAACAATAGGGATAAAAATAAACCGAGTAAGAAATGAACCCATGCATAAATATATTAGATTATTGTATTATTTGTTAGAAAATTCCAACAAAACATTTTATTTTAGTAAGCGTATGTACCTTAAGCATAATGAGTAAAAAGGTTGGTGCAGTGGAAACGTGATGATTAGAGATAATTCCCTGCACATTTATCGTTTGCACATCTATCGTTTGCACATTTATCGGGCTGCACATTTGTCTGCCTGCACATTTATCGTTTGCACAAATGTCTTTGCACATTTGTCGTTTGCACATTTGTCTTTGCACATTGGTCGGGTCACCACATATTTAGTAAAGTTGGAGGAATTTTAAAATTTAAATTAATGCACTGAACGTACACAAGTGGATTTTGTCCTTTTTCGCTTATGTAAATATTTAATTAGCAACCGACAAAATTAAGTGTTTCAAAAAAGTATTTAAAAAAACTTTCAACATAGTCTTCCCATCTACAAAATAAAATTTAAGGATTTGTTAAAACAGATTAAAAAATATATAAAAATTTGAAAATGAATCAATTAACACACTTAAAATTTTAAAACCGTTCAGTTGTTTTATGCCAAAAAAGTTTACCGAATCTGAAAGGTTTCTGTTATATTTATCACATACGAGTAAGTTACTCGCGTCGCTAAAGATATACAATTTAAAGATTACGTGTGTATATAATGGATTCGTTTCAGAATGTATTTACATATTGTATTATTGTATGTACTATGTGGGGTGACCAGACTACTCATTAATAGAGACAGCCAGGCCAGCGGCGGTAGCACATTAAAGGCTAATTGCCGACTCCCCTAAGGACATGTGTATTTACATACCCTCCCCTACACATTTTTGTGTAAGATATGAATGAATTTATCAATGCGTAAATTGCATCGTTATATATAATTTAACGAGTAACAGTTGAAACTGCTATAATGTCATTTTCTCGATCGGTAACAACGTGTTACTCACATATGCAAATATTTGGCACGAACCGCAACTGTACAAATATTGCAAAATTTTGTAAAAGTTTGTAATTTTACAAAATTCGCGGATTTTATAACATTACAATGGCCTCAGTAAATTGCCTCCGTTAATAATGGAACATTGAAACTGCCAAACTACATTAAACATTTCCTCAACCTGTTATAACGTGTTATGCAAATATTTGACACAAAATGGCAAGCTAACCCTGTATAAATAATTATAGTGCAAAAAGTGAGGTTGAGTAAAGAATCATGCAAAAATAAAAATCATCGCGCTCACGAAAAAACATATTCTTGCTTTTATCTGCTTTCTCTCTCACTTGCTCCGACAAGAGAGTGTCACTCTCACGCCAACAATACACAAATACACAATTGGGAATAAACAAGTTTGGGGAAAGGACATGATTTCATTTTCACCACGGCTCTCACCTCTTGAGAAAATTGGACCACTTTTCTCCCAAAGAAAAAAGTGTCTCATTCCATTCAAGGAAAGTAATTTATTCCTTGTGGAATGCAATGGGCGTACTCAAGTCAAAGTTATTCAGGATGACGAAAAGTAATAAACTTTGAGAAAATGAGGTGAAACCTTCAATTCTTATAAAATTATGATATGTACATATGCATTCATGAAAGTTTAAATTCGCAAATGAATTGTGCACTATTTTGCAAACTTGTGGAAACATCCTTAAATTTTTTCGAAAGTTGCTTAAAGGGTTTAAATTCAATTCAATAAATCAAATCATAAATTTAAATTCAATTGGGAAAAATTTATGGTAACTTTAATAAATATTAAAGCGTTACAAAAATATGAAAATTACATCATGTAATTTACATGAGAGAAACCGATATAATACCAAAAAACTGGACTTTTGCACTTCACCATAAGTTTTGCGTTGTAATTTAGAACTTGCAAAATTTTGGAATCCTTATGAAAACATGTAATTTCCTAATTAGCACCAATTTTGTGCTGAAAACGGCACAAAACGGGTTGCCGCGGAGTACACTGAATAGAAATCCTAAAGCCAACATTAAAAGATGTATAAATTTCACATAAATTCCTTACAAGTTGCAATTATATATATCGATTTGTTGCAATCGACAAGTTGCAATTATATCTGAATATTTTTCTATTAGATTTAGTGCTGAGAGGAGTAGTTTTTGATCTATTGAAACATTAATAGATGCTTTAGTTTTGCCAATAAAGTCTTATCGATGGCGAAGTCGTAAACCAAATAATGAACCTGGATCTGAATATTAAAATTGCGTCAGAGAAACCGATATAAAATCCAAAAAAGTGAACTTTTACACTTCTCCATAACCTTTGCGTTGTAATTCACAACCTGAAGTCTTTATCAAATTTTGATTTTCAACCAAAACGACACAAAACGGGATACCGGTTTGCAGCAGAGTACATCGAATATAAATCTTAAACCAAAAATAAGAAGATGTTTAAATTCTGCATAAATTGTTTGCAAGTTGTGAATATTTTCCAGCTAGTTTTGATGACCACAACGGTAATGGACTTCAGATCTGTTGGTGAACTAATCAATAATTCAGTTTTGCAAATTAAGCCTTAACGACAGCAAAGTCATACAATTACATAGATTATAATAAAAATGCACTTGTATCGTGATAAAAATATCTCTAATTGATTTGATCTGTGTATTTAACAATTTTTAAAACATTTTTAACAAAAGAATGACCGGACAACTTATATGAGTTGTTATTTCAGAAACTTCAATTTCATATGCATTGCACTATTAAGATAAAAATAGCTAAATTAAATTTACAAAATTGGTAATCTAAGCTATATAAAGCAGGCGAGTGTATCGCTGCTGGCTGGGTCGGTGGCTTATTTGAGAAGTTAGCCTCTCCTTTTCTCTCTCCACTCTGCAGAGAGAACAGGAGAGGCTAACTTCACTAATGTTGGGGAAACGGGCTTATCGACGGGCCTATTTTGCACGTCGATTGACGGGCTTCTACACTAGTTTTATAGATATTTCACAATTTCTGTTAATATGCCAAATTAAAATCGGTCCTTTTCCAAATTAATGCATGAAAGTGACCGAATTGAAGGGATTATCCCGAATAAACCCCACCACTTTTTAACCTAAAATAAACCTCATTTTTTCTCATTCATTTGCCTTTTTTTCATTCAACTTTCTCTGTATTCAAATCATATCCAAATTTTATTATATTTTCACTTTCTTCTCGTCCCAAACAATATTTGGATTCCATTTTACGATCGTGATCATCACTTCATCCCATTGTCCTTTCTTTCCCTGTGAATCTTTTGTGGTGGGGAAAGTTTGGGGAAAGTATCGTAAACCGCGCAATTTATAGCTCTTTCAAATCCAAATCGAATCCATTCCACAGTTCACAACAAAAAGTACTCAACCTGGGTTTCTCTCGCCGTCCCACACTTTCACCACTCGAGGATAAGGAATCACCAGGATCAAATAACTCTGCGAACCACTTGTTGCCACTTCCCCAGCAAATGAAATGTTCATGTCTGCTTTCTCTTTTTGGGTGACTAGCTCTCTCTCTAGGACCAAATTTAGTAATCTTTTCTCTACGAAAACCACACTTTCACTCAGCGAGCAGCATGCATTGTGTGTTTGGGGTACAATAATATATGAGGACTAAGTATACACTAAGAAATTTGTGAGAATACAATTTTTGGATAAATAATATGCAAATTAGAATTTTATTAGCTCGTCCTGCGTAGCACGAGAGCTATTGAATTCCTCCTGTCCGTCTGTCTGTCTGTCTGTCCGTCTGTTAATGAGTTTTTTGCATCAATTGATGCTAATTAAATAGGCCCATGTCGAATTTTTAGGAAATTAATAGCACCATTCGTATCGAACATGCGATAACACAAAATGGTGCCAAACAATTGGGAGAATTGATTCAATACGCACCAAAAGTGCAGAATAACCCACAGAAATACATCCACACGAATCGGGTCTAAAAAAGTCGAAATCATGTCAAATTTCTGGGTATATTTTCCCCGCTTATTCTCCACCATTGGTGCAAAACCCCACGAAAATTATGCTCTATTTTGTCCGCTTATTTTCTACCACCGGTGTAAAATTCCATCAAAATCATGCATTTTTTTCTCCATTTATTTTGTACCATTGGTGCAGAAGTTTATGTACCAACTAATGTTGTCACCGAAGTATTACAGGACGAGCAACTTCTAACGTTACTACGGTTTATTTTATTTTATTTTTCGAAGTGACGGAAATTTTTAAAATTCTTTGGGAAACTGAAACCTTAAAATCTTGATCTAGAAATCGTGATCTTATAGAAACTACTGTCCTAAATGATGACGATTTATTAAAATTGATTTAATCAAAATAGACAAAATTTTTTGTTTTGTTATAATTTAAAACTGTGTTGGGGATAAATATTTTCAGAAATTCTAAAATTGATAAAAAGTTGAAAATATTTCAATTTAAGATTCATATTTTTAAATGTTCTGCCAGGTATTAATTAGAGTAAAGGTTCTCCAAGTATTGTGGATTTGGTATTTTCAGAAATTTCAAAATTGACAAATAATTCGGATAATGGAAATTATTATTAGCTCACCCTGCGTAGCATGAGAGCTATTGAATTCCTCTTGTCCGTCCGTCTATCCGTCTGTCTGTCCGTCTGTCTGTTAACGACCTTTTTGCATCAATTGATGCTAATTAAAATGTCCCTGGTCCATTTTTTCATAAATTAATAGCACCGTTGGTATCTGACAATCGGAAACACCAAATGATGCGAAAGAATTGGGGGCTTTGATGCATAACGCACCAATAATGCATACTACTCGGCGGATTTTATTAGACAATTTTGACATAAATTTTTC